GATGGCACAGGATAGGACAGAATTATGATCTGTCATTCATAAGGTCACTATGAGTTGTACTTGACTTGATGGCATCTAACAGCACAACTTGCATTATGCAGATGATACAAGTGACTCAAAACACTGAGGAAGATCAAAGATCACAGCCTTCAACATGACTCATATCTCAAGATCAAAACAACAAATATCTTTACCCATAGGACCAATAGACAACACCATGATAGAAGGAAAAAAGATTGAAGTGCTCAACAATTTAATTTTATTTGGATCCACAATCAACAGTGATGGTAGCAACAGTCAGGGAATCAAATGACATTATTATATCGGGCAAATCCACTCTATAGGAGCTTTTTAAAGTGCTGAAGAAAAAGGGCACAGGTTTAAAAATTAAGGTGTGGGCAAACTGGTGGCCTAGTGGCAAGAAGTTGCACTGCAATCGCAGAGGTGTGCAGTTCAAATCCACCAGATGTTCTGCAGGAGGAGGGACAATCTCCTCCTGAACCAGTCAGATCCAATTTGACAGTATACACATATAATAATAATAATAAAATTTTTTTAAAACCACAAAAAGGTCTGTCTGACCCAAGCCATGACATTTTAATCTTCATAAGCACCTGAAAGTTGGACAATGAGCAAAAAACACTGAAAAATTTATGCCTTTGAATTGTGATGTTGGGGCAGTTTGAATATACCATGGACTACCAAAAGGAAAAACGAAACTGTCTTGGAAGTACAACCAGGATGTTCCTTAGAAGAATGGTGATACCTCCTCTCACAAATTGGGCATTTGTAGGGAGTGGCAGTTCTTAGGAAAAGGTATCATTCTGGGAAAGTGAGAGGGGTCTATGAAGAGGAAGACCCTCCACAAGAATTGATACAGTGACTGCAACAAAGGGCTTGAGCCTCGTGGAGATCATGAGAATGGCTCAGGATACAGTAAGGTTTTTTGGTTTGCTATGAGTGGACTCCACCGCACCCAACAACGGTAACACACCAGTGTAACAGGTAATGCTTTTTTCTACCGACAGCAAGGGATGCAAGTTGGGAGTTTACAGTACGTAATTGCTGGGTCCTTGCTCTGAGTTTCCAATAAAGTACGAATTTCCGTCAGAGTCTCCAATTGCTTTCCCCTTACTCAACAATGGAGGGTGAGGATGAGTATTGGATATACAGTATTCATGATCACAGGTCTCATCTCGAGTTTGCTTTCTTGTGTTGTGTGGTTTTTTCAGGCACATAACCTTACCATTCATTCATGATCTTCAGTTTCCCTTTAAAATGGATCAAGTCTCGTGTGCAGAGTGGATTCCCACTCATAGTGATTCTTCGGGGGCGAGGAGAACTGTCTCATCGTTCCCTACGCTGTAACTTTTACGGGGGCAGATCGCTAGATCTTTTCTCCCTGGAGTAGCTGATGAACGCCAACTGCTGACATTCCAATTAGGAGCTGAGTGCTTAAGCGCTCCCTGAACAGTATTTTAAGCCCCTGAATCAAGGGAGGGATCCCCAGTCTTCTGAAAGTTACCGTTTAGGCTTCATCTGAACATGGTAACAGCCTCTAGAGCCTAATCTCCACTATCATGAAGATGTACACTAGGGAATACATATGAGGGAAAAATCACTCTCCAATCCAGATCTAAATTTGCTACCAGAACCTCAACACCTATAGCGCCGGCGCGCTCCCTCACAGCACAGGAGCTGCCGCCTGCGCAGTAAGGCGCAGACCAGAGGCCATCAGGATTGTGGGTGTCTGCACAGCGGCCACGATCTCGGAAAGGTCGAGCCCCGTCGTGCAACTCCCTCGCAGCGAACCTTCAGGTGTAGCATGATTAGAGAAACAAGGGAAGACGGCTTCTGCAGAACGGCGTGTTTCCGTCTGAAGACACCGACTTCCGGTTCAGCAGCCGGTTCCGGTCTCCGCCCTGCACTTCCTGTCGCCTTCGTTTCCACTGTGGCTACTCTTGGCGTCTGCTGTCCCAGGCTCCGCCGCGCTCCAGGTGAGTGGACGCGGGGGACCCCGGGATGCTGCCGGAGGAGTCGCGTTGGGGGCTGGCGCCCGCGGCTTTGCCCCCTCTCTTCCTGGCCTCCGCTGCGGCCGACAGTGGCGGGCTGACGGCCGGCTCTGGGCGCCCCAGGCCGAGAAAGTCGGGGCCCAGGCTCCGGCCCGCCGGTGGTTCGGCCGCTGCACCGTGATCCGGCCTTCCTTTCTGCGTGAAGGACTATCCACGGCCGAAGTACTGCCCAGCAGGCTTTGTGTCTCCAAACGTCATTCTTCTCGGGGTTCCTCATCAGCGCCCCTGTTAAAAAGACTTAGCAGCCCTGGGCTTCTGGGGTCGCTACCTGTGGTCTGATAATGCCCGCCGCTTGCAGGTCATTTCACACAGTTCTCTCGTCCGCGCCACCTCGCAGTTTACTGCTCAGCTTGTCCTGGCTAGGAGTTGACAGTGTGTCTCTCCTTACCTCTTACTGTGGTTGTACTGTCAAGTTGACGACTCTGTAAACAGATCTGAACCTTGCCCTATCTTCCGCTACCCGCACGCTCTCCTGTAGGCTTCAGCCCGTTGTTAAAGTCACGGTGTCAATCCATATAGGTTTATTGAAAATTCAGTTAGCCCTGGTAAGAGGATACTTTTGCTCTCATTTCGGATTTTTACCTGTGCCACTTCCACGGGTTTGGTTTTGGGAAGCTGTATAACTTTACTCCTTTCTAATTAGTAATGAAGGCAGTTGTCTATTAGAGGGCTCTCGTCGCCCAGTGGTAAGGAGCTGCACTACCAACCCAGAGGCATGTGGTTCGAATCTACGGCTGCTACTTAGGAGAGAAATGGGCAGGCACGTCCCGTGTGATTTACTGCCTCGGAAAACCTTCTGGAAAGTCAGCTATGAGTCAGTTGTACATAACAGGAACAACAAATAACGCAATTAAATTGTTTAGAATATTATCACTTCATTCTATTACAGTGCTAACAACAAATAATGGTAAGATTCTAAGCAGTCGTATTGGTGTTTCCAGTGTACAGAGTTTCACAGCTGTCTTACAACACTATTCTTGTCAAATAAATATATAAAAATATTGATAGTCACTTCTTGTGGTGGATGAGAAAACTGTGTCCCAGAAATTGTAGTTCAGGAATTGACTAAGCAAAGTCATACAGTGTGTTAGGCAGAAGAGAAACCCAAACAGTTGCTTTTTAGTCTAGCTTTACTGTTAAGCCTTGTTCTCATAAGGTGTAAAATGTTAGCTTGGGTGGTATGTTCACTGTCTGAGTTTGTTTGCTCTTCAATTATTTTTTAATTCTTAATTCTGATAGGGATTCAAAGAAGGAAGAAGGAAGGTTAGATGTGAAAATATTAAATGATTCAGGTATTTATTTTGTGCTGTGAATGATCTGAATATTAAAAAAATGAAGTTCAGGAATTTTAAAAACCGTTTTAAATACCTTACGTATCTCAAAATTTTATGTTGTTTTGTTAACGTTGGGATGCCCATTTGTGGTATAGATGGCATTGGGCACATTTTCTTTTTTCTTTTTAAGACTGAAAAAATGGAAGATTTAGAATGCTATCTCTCCAACTTTATATACGTTAGAATAATCTGTAAAACTTGTTAAAAGCAAATTTTTAAGTACTTGTTTCTATCTCTAGTCATATTTTTCCACTGCTTCCCAAGTAACGTCAGGCAAGTTACCAAGGACCTTACTGTCAAAATTACTGTAACAGTGATCTCTGGCATTGTTGAGATTGTGGAGATGGCTTAGGATATAGGGCAAGGTTGTTCTTAGGGTCACCTAACAACAATAGCAGATTTAAGAAGAAATCGCTTAAAGTGATTTGAAATCTGAGTATAACCTGAACTCATGTAATAATCTCATTCCTAACCCTTCTTTTACATGCTGTATTAGTGTTGATTTTATTGCTATAAATTATTCTTTTTATTCTCAAATGAATATTTGACTCAAAAGGTCCATTTTGGTTTCCTTCTAGGTATTCTAATAGCAAAATCCTTTATGTGTTGCATTGCTTAAAAAAAAAAGTGTATATATAAGTGAATTTATATGCCCTCTTTTACTAATGGAAGGTGCTGGAAACATTTTGCTTCCAAATATTTTTGAATATTGAAATTCAGATTTAGCTTTTCCTTTTCAGTTGATTGTAATATAGGAACAGTACAAGCTAATGCTCCATTAAATAAGTTTAAAAAAAAATCCACTCACAGCTGTCTGGCTGGTCCCAGCTCATAATGACCGTCTAGTGGGTTTCTGAGGCTGTAAACCGCAGCGGGATGAAACTGCACATCTTTCTCCCGTGGAGCCAATGATGGATTTAAACTAAAAGGAACACTGGGTGAACAGCACAATTTGTTAAAGACTTGGCCACCAGAGCTCCCTACATAAGTGAAAGTGTTCGGAAATCTAATGCTTCTAGATGAGAAAACCCAATTCTCTGACCTGTAGGAGAATGAGCTTATGCTCTTATTGACAAAGAGTAGTACCTACTATATAATCTTAATGTATTTAGATCATTACCTGTGTATATTGTATTTATTGATGTTAAATTAGATACTTTAGCTCTGCTTGGTCCAATTCAGGAAAGACTGTTATGGGAAAATGAGAGATTTAGTTAGAAGACTTGACTCCTTCCTTTTAAATACTTACTCCGAAGCATTTGTATGCCAGTTACTGAGGGTCAAATACTATGACGTTTAGAAATATGAACTAAATCTATCAACCTATTACATAGGTAATACCATTGTCCTATTTTTTTTTTTTTTAAGTTTTATGTCTTTTCAGTAGACCAAGGAGACTCTGAGAGAGTATTAAGGTCTATCACCCTAGAATAAAGGCAGGAAAATTCTGGTTATTTATGACCAGGTTGTGAAATAGTTATCATACCGCACATATTCATAAGTTTGAAGTGATAAATCAGTTTGAATATATCTTTTTAAACTTGTTTATTTTTGTGTCTTTTTTTTCTAGGATTATTTTGTTTTATTAAAAAAAATTATTTTTTTATTAAAAGCTGCCTAATCATATGCTTCAAGGATGGCTGTTCCTCTTATTGTAAAGTGGGGAGGACAGGAATATTCAGTGACCACACTTTCAGAAGACGATACTGTGCTAGATCTCAAGCAGTTTCTCAAGACCCTTACAGGAGTGCTGCCAGAACGCCAGAAGTTACTTGGACTCAAAGTTAAAGGTAGGTCTCCCCCTTTTTTGCACTTAAACATTTGTGAATTTGCTATAATCTGTTATTTTAAAAAGATCTCTTTTCCCTTGGAGGTTTCCTTGAAAGATTGTTTTAGTAGTAAAAGTAAGAAGATAAAAAGTTACTGGAAAATACCATAGTTAAGATTATTTTTGATTCTTTTGACAGTTGCTGTTTGCTGGTTAGACTTGGGGCACAAAAGTCCTAGGTGAAACAGAGCATGATTTATTTTCTGATATTTATCTTTTAATGCAGCCTTTTCTTTCTGTTTCATGACAAACTGTCTTTTCTATTTTTAAAGCATGATATTTAAAATTATAGGTAGTATTTATATATTTATAATTAATCTAAAATAAGCTTTCATGATATTTGTGTCTGTTAGTCTTTGAAGAGTGAGTTTTCAGTAGCAATAATCCTGCAGGTGAGTTTTTTTAGATACTCAGTTTTTAAGATAAACATATGGAAAAAGCTAACTTCATCTAGAATTTTAAAAAAGAAAAGCACAAGACTTTGATTTTTTTGTTTGTTTCTTTAGTTAGCTGGATACAGGTGTTCCTCTAAAGTAAAGTTAGGAGGGAAAACAGTCCCTTTATCATTTCCTATTTCTCAGTGTCTTAAGTATGACATACTAATTCAATAATAACACAGTTTAAAAGAAAACAATACCCTCAAACTTCTGTGAAATCTATAGCAAACCTTTTAATGTTAGGGTTTTGTGTAGTTAATCCAGCATCTGAACATTAGTGAGAAAACAGTCATTTGCTTGTATTGTAGGCAAACCTGCAGAAAATGATGTTAAGCTTGGAGCTCTCAAACTGAAACCAAATACTAAAATCATGATGATGGGAACTCGTGAAGAGAGCTTGGTAAATGTTTACTTTTGTTACCATTTGTTCTTTTGAAGATAGTACACTTTATACTACACTGTTGTAGCATAATTTTAATTGTGGTAAAATTGTGAGTCTAGCATTTATAATGAAAAATAAATGCTGCATAGTGAAATGCGATATTAACTCAGCAGGTAATAAATACTCTGGAACTTTTTAGTACATAGTTAGCCATAAGTACAGTAGTTGTCGAAATGGTCAAATTTAACATTGTAAAATATGCCCAGTAGGCATATAGAGCAAATAATTAATGGTGGAAATTTTTTCACAGTATGTACTTGAACTCCCATACAGAAATTATAAACAATTTTAATTTTTACTCTAGACATAATTCTCCTGTTAATGTTGAAGATAATATGGTAAAACAAAACTTTTTTTTGTCTGAATAGGAAGATGTTTTGGGTCCACCACCTGACAATGATGATGTTGTCAACGACTTTGATATTGAAGATGAAGTAGTTGAAGTAGAAAATAGGTGAGTGCTTTTCATTCCTAAAGGAACTTGGTTATAAAGATAAAGTAAGTACTTAATCTGATTTTATTTTTTCCGTTAGAGAAGAAAATCTACTGAAAATTTCTCGAAGAGTTAAAGAGTACAAAGTGGAAATTCTAAATCCTCCCAGGGAAGGGAAAAAGCTACTGGTACTTGATGTTGATTATACATTATTTGGTAAGTCGGATCATAATGCTGTTCATTGTATTACCCAAAGCAGCTTTC